GAATTTTTGCTTAAAGCGTAGGTTATTCAACATCGCATATCAGCAGAGATGCTCAAAGCTGACCCCATGCTATCCGCACAAATGTTGCATCAACTATTCTGTAATATCTGGGACACCACGACTTTTCCGGCCGACTGGATGCAGGGCATCTTAGTGAAGGTCCCAAAGAAGGGGGATCTGACTGTGTGCGACAATTGGCGAGGCATCATGTTACTGTGTATTGTTTTCAAAGTTCTGTGCAAAGTTATCCTGAATCGGATACAGGAGAAGATCGACGCGACTCTCCGACGGCAGCAGGCAGGATTCCGTGCCGTAAGATCTTGTGTGGACCATATTGTCACGCTCTGCATCATCCTGGAGCAGGTCAATGAATTTCAAGAGTCCCTTTATTTGGTATTCATTGACTACGAAAAAGCTTCCGACCATCTCAATCGCGAGAATCTGTGGGGTGCCCTGAGACGCAAGGGAGTCCCGGATAAAATCGTCAACCTCATCGAAGCGCAGTATGAGGCTGTCACGTGCAGAGTTCTGCATAACGGAGCCTTGTCCGACCCTATCCGGGTAGTCGCTGGTGTGAGACAAGGATGTATACTATCACTGCTACTGTTTCTAATCGTAATCGACGAGATCATGGTAGGTGCAATTGACCGTGTACCGAACTGTGGGCTGCTTTGGCAGCCTATCACCATGGAGCATCTCAACGACTTCGATTTGGCTGATGATATTGCTCTACTAGCACAACGGCGCTCTGATATGCAGAATAAGCTCAATGACCTAGTCGAACGCTCCTCTGCGGCGGGTCTCACCATCAACGTCAACAAGACCAAATCGTTGGATATCAACACGGGCAACCCTTCCAACTTTACGGTAGCGGGGCAAGCAGTGGAGAAGATCGAAAGTTTCCAATATCTTGGCAGCCAAATAGCGTCTGACGGCGGGACCAAGAGCGACATAGGTGCACGAATCAAGAAGGCTAGGGCTGCCTTTGCGAGTTTACGAAACGTATGGAGATACAACCAGATAAGTCAACGCACCAAAATCCGAATTTTCAACTCGAACGTGAAATCTGTGTTGTTATACGCCAGCGAGACGTGGTGTGCATCAGCGGAGAACACTCAAAAGCTGCAGGTCTTCATCAACCGATGTCTGCGGTATATAATTCGTGCCTGGTGGCCTCACAACTGGATCTCGAATGCCGAGCTTCATCGTCGATGTCATCAGAAGCCGATAGCAACAGAAATTCGAGAGCGAAAGTGGAGGTGGGTCGGCCACACACTTCGACGGGGCGGAAACGAAATCTGCAAGCAAGCGCTGGATTGGAATCCGGCAGGACATCGCAGCAGAGGCAGACCCAGGGGCTCATGGCGGCGGAGCCTCAATAAGGAAATTAAGCAAGTCGATAGGAATCTGACCTGGGCCCAGGTCAAGGCAAAAGCGAGCAGCCGCCCAGGATGGAAGTCTTTCACGTTGGCCCTTTGCACCGCTGGTGGTGCACAGGACCCTTAAGTAAAGTAAGTAAGTAGGTTATTCAACGCATGAGTAACCTAAGATTTAGCCCCGTAACGTGGGTACGGGATGTAAGATCTACCACCGATTCTTGATTAATTCAAACTAGGGGAACAGGATTTTTCAGTAATCAATGGAACACATCTTAGTCCTTGTTACTTTTTATGCCTTGTTGATAGTGACAAGACTCAGCTTTGTCCACCGAGGATGATCTTGAAACAAGGAAAAAATGAGTTAGTTAGTATTCATCTATGTGATTCCTAATCTTCCATTCGTTGTTCCCTAGTTTGAAGTGGTTAAGACTAGGGTTCTGATGCATGGTCATTATCGGTGTCATTCCTTAATTTTATTGCTAACGAATCCGATTTTAACTGACAAAGGGCGCGCCTTTGGAGGGTGTTCCAACACTCTGAAGGGTATAAATAGCGAGACCTTTCAATCAGAGTCGGATCCTTGCGATAAATGCGAGAATGACAACTGTAAAAAAATCGAATACTTCACCATTTCTCAATAGTGATGGAGTAATACGACATGTACTAAACTAAGGACAGGGGCCCCCCCTTAGCTCAGTCGGTAAAGGCGCAGCTACAAAGCAATACCATGCTGGAGGTGGCCGGGTTCGATTCCCGGTCCGGTCTAGACATTTTTCGGGTTGATAAATTTCTCGACTTCCCTGGACATAGAAGTATGATTGGACTTGCCACACAATCATATCAATGCAAAAATGGTACAGGCATCGAAAGCTCTCAATTAATAACTGTGGAAGTGCATCTAGAACACTAAGTTGAGAGCACGCAATAGGCTAATATGCGATATGCAACATGCTTGAAATGCGAAGAAGAAGAAGAAGAAGAAGAAGACTAAACTAAGGACACGGGATATACTACAATAGATCAAATTGGTCGCAGTGGTTTTAAATCCCGAACAGAGGGGGAAAAAACCTGAGATTTAAAAAAAATATCTCCATACGAATCAGTAAAAGAGACTCATTCTCTGAGTATTATTCGTTTTCAATGTATCTTGTTTGCCATCTCGGCTAGAAATTGGATATTGGATAGTCAAGCTCAGTGTGCAATTTGCATCAAATTCTATGTTTTAACTTGACAGCACGGCCAGAAAGCAGGTTTTTGTATTCAGTGAAGTTATTCGAATGGACAATACCTATCGCATGATTGGCCTCTTGGTTCAGAATTCACTCACCATGCAGCGCTAGTAACATAAGTAGAATTATTAGGCTTGCTTAAGCAGTCTACATTCACTGAAAACGAATCTTATTCAGAGAGTGAGTCACTTTTACGTAGGAAGCTCATGCGCTGAGTATCCAACGCTGTTAGAAATGTATCCTTACGAATGAGCAAAAGTTATTCACGCTCTGAGTTAGTTTCGTGTTCTGTGCTTCGACTAAACTATCTCTAGTAATGTTATTCAGATCGATAAGACCTATTGAATACTGGACACAGGGTGACCAGTGAACCGGGAATTCGAAAAAAATCCGGAAATTCTAAATCACCGGGAGAAGTTTGTGAATTTCGATGATGAACCGGGAAAAATATACTTCGTCCTCTTTTTGGAAAAAAAAATAATCTTCTCAACTACTATATTTTCCGGATACAATCACTTTGAAGCACTTATTCGCTAATTTTGATGAAAATTCCAAATGAATTTAATGGAAATTTAGAATGAATTCTAGAGATAATAAGGAATGTCAGATACAAATTCCAATGGAGTTTTTTGAAGTATTTTTATAGAGTTTTGACTACAACGCCAAGTCATTTACTCTAGTTCGTCATACATAAGAGATACAGATTTGAATTGTTTATGGAAGTTGTAGCTAATTAGCTATATAGATATTAATATCAAAACCTACAGAACCTTAATACATTATTTTATAAAATCCTGATGACGAAAAAAATTAGAGGAAAATGAATGCACGAAATGAATGTAAATGATTTTCCATGCCTTGTGGATGCCCATGGTGGTCAAAATAATTGTCACCAAATGCGGTTGTGTACTGTCCGTCGATTAAGTATAAATAAAAAAAATGACTATGGTTGCATTATTCATAATCATTTTCAAGAAAGAGCTTCTAATACAAAGTCAAGATATTAATTTCTATAACACAATAATCTTTACATGCCTGCTTAATATAAAAAAAGCCTTTAGAAAGTCTTCTTCAATTTCAATATGTCTTCAAAAATCGTTTTGTGACAAATTTTCAAAATATCTGCGAGAAAAAAAAATATCACAGAATTTCAAATATGTCTTCTAAATGAAGAAATGTCTTCAAATCTGACACCCTTGGTGAAAATCAATATTAAATTAAATTAAATAACATTATACTGAAAACATGCTTACCTACTGGCGGAAAGAACCATATTATCGACATCCGGCCGTGTTCCGGGGAAGAGAAGTTATTTGTTAGAAAGAATTAATTATTTGTGAGTTAGAGTAGTAATCATATAAATTGATATTTACAGTTATAAGTTTGCATTGCATTGTATGTATTGCATTTCGTTCAGATTGGAGATATTTTTAAAAATTGCAAGGCACGGAAATGGTCTATATCTAGCATATTAAGTGTCAAAGATCATTTCACCAAGCCAGTGACATAAATCAAAGTAGTACATGTTCAAATGGGAGGAAGACACTTGTCACCGAAAGGCGGATTAATCAGTGTTTTTTTCAACTACAATTATTAAATACACACTAGGATCGAAAACAATTTGGGAAGTGGAATGCAAGAATGGTTTGTGCAGACATTCTTGAAATGGGTCGCTGGATCAACTATCTAATTGGCTAGTTCTTTACTCTGACTCAAACTCCCAATAAGGACCTAGCGTCCATGGAATGCTTCACATCTGTACCGTTGCCGTACTTGATACATCAGACCTAAATACCGTTCACTTAACAAAATCTATAGATCCTACCGATCCTGCTATATCCTATGCTCAATCAGTTTAATCTTATTCAACTCTTCTAACTTTCACATTGATCCGGCACTTTCTCCCAACCTAAAGCAACATAAACACAACACCACCGCACCGGTGCCGTCGACGATCCGCCGCCAACAACGCATCATATTTATAACCGACCACAAAGTCACACCACAGTAAAGTCAGGCATATCCTCAGAGTGTATTGTTGTTGCTGTTGTTAAATCAGTTCAGTTTAATACCCCACTGACTTGTCTGCTGGCAGCTGTTTTGATCAATGTACGTACCTACCTACCTGTAGCGAATGAGCAGAACGAAGCAGAAATAAAAACCTGAACAACTTGAACTTGAACTCCATTCAAATCGTCATTCAACATTCAACGAGGTTGCTGGCTGCTTGATGCCTGCCTGTTGGAATCTCGATATCAGCTTGGGATACTGCAAAATCGCTGAAATATGTGCACCATACCCGTGTGATTCCCTACAGATCCAGAAGACGTAGGAGCTGATGGGTGTAAATTTTATTCCGTTCTCGAACACTTGAACAACTTCTTCGACTTACTTTATTGCTCATTTTTGCCGTTCCTCCTTAGATCGTCGACGTTTGATGGTTGTTTTGTTCTGGTGATGCTGCTTTTGCAAAGATGGTTGTTATTCTTGCTGTTGCTGCAACTATGACGAAGTGCTTGCGTAACGGGATGTCACTTATTCACTACTTATATTCATAACCAGAATCCCACTTCACGCTCACTGCACTACGTATCGATTATTCACAATTTATTTTTATGGCAACCAAGTAGTTCGAGAGTACATGCGACGTACGTAAGTTTTCTAGGTCAGCCCAGCAAAGGCAAAACGAAATCGACGCAGTTCGAAGTTCAGCCCGATAATGGCGAGAAGAAAGATAATCAAATCTACAGAGAAAGTCCCGTGTGCGAAATATAATACTCCTCCGCGAGGCGAGTCGACTGGGAGAAGATGTTGCCCGAATCAAACAAATTCTGAGACTGGCCAGGCTGCAGACAAGCGTTAGGTCGCTCTCCGTATCTATCTAGTGTGCCTTGCGACTGGTTGTTGTTGGTGGTTCACTCACTTCTCACTCTGCTCTCAATGGGCCACCGCCTCCTGTATGGTACGGTACGGTAACTTGGTTGTAGTAGGCCGGCTTCTGGTGGTTGTGCAATGTTTTGAATCGGCAGAACGAAGATGTTAGGAACCATAGCCAAAGGGACGGTGATATTAAAAATATAATAGTGATTCATTTATGAACGTGAATATTGAGTGCTTTCGAAATCATAGACAGTGGAAAGGTATTTCATACTAAAATTATATGCCTTATTCAAGGCAGATGCTATAACACAATTTTGTATGCTAACATTCAGAAAGAAAACACATGAATCGAGGGATAGAACCAATACGAGGATGAAATTCTTGTTGGTTGTAACGAGTAACATGTATTAGTAAATTAATTCTTCGTCCGAGAAATCTATTAAACCAAAAAGAGAGTGAGAATATAGCAGCGAGACCGAGAACGCACGTTCTTCCGATCGGATTGTTGTTGTTTGTTTTAGCAATAAAGTTCTCGGTGTGACTGACTGGATATTAGTGATCATCATTGCGGTGACTATTATTGGCGATGTGTTGTGTTTACTTAATGCGGTGCGTCACTGAGCCTTGACGGTTGTTATTCCTCGGTTACCCATTTGAATTATGTGCGAGACGGATAGAATAGTTCTACCACAGACAAACAGACATAACAGTCGCAAGTTGTTCATCGAACAAGCATTTAACGGTCAATTTAAAAGTATCGTAGTTGGTAGTATCGCCACCTGTGGCGCGCATAGTCAATTTCCTTGTGTTTGACGTTTACACACTACCGCCATCTGTTCAGCGTACTACCCACCACAATGTACTCAATAGATGGCGATAATGTTTTAGCAACGATGTTTTACATTGAGAAATATTCAATGTGTTATGTCTGTTTGTCTGTGGTTCTACGTCCGCGTGTTTTTTTTTTATTGCGTTCTTTTGTGTTCTACCGCTTTGTTGATAGTTAATATGGATTCCATTCATTAGAGATGAGTGCTTACAACCTACTACACCATCATGCGGTAGTTTTTGTAAGTGTATGGTTGTTTTATCATTTCCAGCTTCAGAAAAATGGAAAACCTATTTTGAGAATAAAGTAACGAATTTGAAATGACTGAATTTATACGCAGATAGCACGTGGTTTGTTATCTACCCTTGGGCCACCATGCGTCTCCATAGCATGTAAACGTTTAGTAAACGGTGGAAAACATAGACTCCTTGTATCGTCACTAAACAGCTTACAAAATATAACACTAGTTTACAGCATTTTTGAACTCGGTAAGGTGATGATCATTTCCAATGCAAAATCCTACGCTGAATTCAATGCCGTGGTCAGAAAAAATTAAAGTAGAGCCATTTTTGAGATATACAAAAATTTTGATTTTTTGAATTTTGGATAAAAGTACGATTACTAAAATGTCAATATCTTTGGAACTAGTGCACCAATTTTAAATCTTTTTTATGAAAATGAAGCTAAATAAATTTGCTATCGTTCACTTAAATATTATGTCTTAATTAAAAATTTAATTTTGAAGTCATTTAAAAATTTACAGCATTTTTTTTTTATTTTTCCTGCGAATTTTCCATAAAAATCTTGTTTTAATCAACATTTTTAATGGGATAAAAAGATTCAAAAAATCATTCCATAATTTATTCTTAAAGTCCATTCAAAACCGGAGAAAATGAGCCTCTAATGGATGAAATCGGTTGGAAATTGTCGAAGTTATGAGCATTTTTGTAAAACACTTAAAAATGTTGCTGTAATACAACAGCTTTAGAGTTCCTTTTCTAGGTGTCGTTGTAAGCATCCAAATCGCATGTAAAGTTTTCATGGGAGATTCTTTTCTCTACATATCAATTTGATTAAGGCATATCAGGATTTAAAACCGAGTTGATACAAAAGAAATTTATTTAGGTTTTATTAAAAATGATTGAGAATCGAATGACTATGTCTTCGATGTTTTGAACTTGTTTCTCGAATCAGAAACCAACAATAGTCACCCATCATTGCTTCATCCCAAAACCCTTGGTAACGACGTTCCATCATCTTCATTTGTTGGTGAAAACGTTTGCCGTGCTCATCACTTTCGTCACCAAGATTTTCCGGGAAAAAATCCATGTGAGAATGTAGGAAATGTATCTTCAAAGACATTAACATTAACATAAGACATTAACACTTATCAAAAATAGATGAAGTAAGATAATGTCGATCAGGAAAAAACAAAGCACTACCATGCTGTACATAAATTGTTTATATGAAAGTTATTCAAAAAATCAATTTACCTTGCGCCTGACATCCACCTAGCCAAGCACGTTTTGCACGAACTACATAATACTTTTGGAATCCACGGTTTGTCAAAGTCTCCAGGATCAATTTTAAAATAAAGCCTGTATGCACTTTGCAATGAAGCAGTGAAATTGACCGATTTTGTAAATATATAGTTGCCACACGCGTAACAAAACTTTTGAGGATCATTTTTACACTTGAATTCACGTTTTGTCGTATACATCGTTAAGCAATGTTAAAGAAAGAAAGCTGTCAAATTGAGTTGGTTGCGTTAGGTTCTCGCCGAGCGGTCTCACAAACACTAGCGTAAATTATATTGTTGAAAATATCCCATTTAATTTTGCGTGACAGCTGGTAGTGTTAGTGAAATGCACCGTATGCGTACACGTCCGCAGAAAGGCTTACTGGAAGTGGTGCATGAACCTAGGAGCGGGACAACGGCCAATCTTGGAACATTCAATTTCCATGATTTTACAAAAAATTTCATAACTTCGACAATTTTCAACCGATTTCATCCATTAAATGCTCATTTTCTCCAGTTTTTAATGGACTTTAAGAATAAATTATGGAATGATTTTTTGAATCTTTTTATCCCATTAAAAATGTTGATTAAAACAAGATTTTTATGGAAAATTTGCAGGAAAAATAAAAAAAAATGCTGTAAATTTTTAAATGACTTCAAAATTAAATTTTTAAGATTTTTAAGATTTAAAATTGGTGTACTAGTTCTAAAGATATTGACATTTTTGTAATCGTACTTTTGTCCAAAATTCAAAAAATCAAAATTTTTGTATATCTCAAAAATGGCTCTACTTTAATTTTTTCTGACCACGGCATTGAAGAATTCAGCGAAGGATTTTGCATTAGAAACGTTGGTCAACCACTAAAGTTCACACTTTTTATGTTGTTTTGTAAACTAGTGTAATCTATAAGTTATTAATCGTGTACTTAAAAATGGGACATCTCTGATTTTGTGTGTGATTTTGTTGATAAAAAGGTTCAAGACACAACCGTAGATTTGACGTAGAATTACGAAAGGTAGTTTTGATGTCACAGCAAAAGTATAGTGTATATTAAATTGATTTCTTAACTCGTTATCAGTGAAAAAGTTCGAAAGGTTGAAATTTGGAAGCAATTTGAGAGTTTTGTTTGTGAGGTGCTCTGTCGATGTCCATGTAGTACAAGCCAATCCTGGACAATATGTCTTGGATGCAAGCTCTTACTCTTTAGTTAACTCTTTTATCAGTCATTTGTGGTCCTGAAAAGGACCGATGGATGGGAAGCTTGAAAACCAGTTTAGAAAAATGCTGTGGACATTTGTCCTCGATGTTCTTGGGGATGATAGCGGTGCGGAAATGAAATATGTATTAGGGAAAACACAACAATCACAGAATCTGAGCCTACCGGACGGTACCTACGTTTATGCTTTTTTATGCAAATTTTAAACCCCTTCTATTGAGAGATTCGGCAAGATCTTTTTTTGGCTTAATTCTCTTAATAGGAAGGGCCTAACATTTGCATCAAAAGGCATAAAGATAGGTACGGTCTGGCATGCTCAGTGTTTGGTATAAATATTCGGCAACTGTGTTAGGGAAACCACTTTTCCCATCACGGAAACGCCTTGTTTTCTGATGTCAAAATTACGCATTTTCGTGCAAAACTTTTGATGTATTCAATACATAATATAAAAGCAAAAAATGATGGGAGGAATGTCTTGCTAAAATTTTTCCAATCGCGAGATATCCGCGATAAATCATATAAATACGAGATTTTTTTGCTTTTTCTAGCGTCCTGGAGAAAACCTTACGAAGCGTTTGACATGGTCATGTGATGTTCGATCATTGCAAAAAATTTTATGTAGGGGAAATGGATGTAATGTCGGCCTAAATGCCCCTAATTTGGGCCCATATATAAATTCAGAAATCGACTAAATTTTCAATAGCGACCAAAAATACCCATTAGTACGGCCCCAATGAAGCGGTCATCTAGATAAAATTCATAAATAGCAGATTTTCAGCAATGGGCCCAATTTTAGATCCATAGGCCATTTTCCCTACCACTTCTATACTTGACGGGTTTGACCACAAACGTTTAGTTTCTGGGTACAATATCAAAGAGCTTGGAGGTGATGTGGCTGGCAGCAAGGCGAGCGAACGTTCAATGAAAATGAACTCTTAAACAACAATAATTTATGGTGGTCCTGAAAAGAATGAGTAATGCTGAGCTATTAGGGTATTCAACACGGATACAGCTGACGAGCTGTATGTTGTTTGGAACGAGGGTGACGCGCTCGGCATAGACGGATCACGACGAGCAACTCAATCCGATCAGCGGTTGAAGGCAGCCTTGATAGCTAGCTGCTTGTAGCCTTTCGTTGTGTATTGGAGAACACCACCACTCACCACACATTGAATGAACAGCGTTCGGTGAGACCGGACGGAATTAAATATTGAAATCTATGTTAGGGAAAGCGCTTTTCGCAGGTAACCGGTGACCATTTTAATTATCATAGCAACAGTTTCACATTCGTGCAATTTTCAATAGCGACAAGTTGAAAAATGATAAATCCTTAATTTTAACAGATTCGTAGAAAAATTTCCTATCCATTTGCGTATTCTGAATTAAAATCCATCGTCTCTGGATCAAAATCAGACCTTTTTCATGCCACGACCGACTGGATTCTGAAATTGCACTGCCAATGTTGCCTTAAAAATATAGGGTATGTCATATTTAAACATTATGGGAACTGGAACCTGACGTTTGTTTTTTTCCGTGGAGTTTTTTTATCTTTAATCGGTTGCTGATCTGGCCAAAACCAGGCCCAGGAGACAATTTATAGTTCCTCAGTCCCTATTATTTGCCGCTGAGAAGCTGTTTCAAAACCAAGTAGAACCTCCACGAGGCGTTCCATCATTAGTTCCATCATTAGTTGAG